GCATGGGTGCACTTACATACTGCACACAAAAATACTCATGAAAAATTCAGGGGACTGGAGAGATGGCTTAGCAGTAAAAAGCACTGGCTGCTCTTGCAGAGGACCCAGGTTTGAATTCCAGCACTCACATTGTGGCTAACAACTGTCTGTAACTCCAATTCCAAGGGATCTGACACCCTCCTCTGACCTCCGAGTGCATAGTACAACATGCGTGTACTCACATACATGCAAGCATTGCACTCATAATTTTAAAATAAAATTATTAAATCAAAATTTTTAATTAGGGGACTGGAGAGATGGCTTAGCAGTTAAAAGCACTGACTGCTTTTGCAGAGGACCTGGTTTCCATTCCCATCACCCACATGGTGGATAACTCCAGTTCCAGGGTGTCCGACACCCTTTTCTGGCCTCCACGGCCATTGCATGACACGAGTGCACTTAAATGCAGCCAAATTTCTCATACACAAAAAATGAAAATTTTTAATTAGCTACAGATGAATAATAGACCCAAGTTTAATAGCTAGAACTCTGAAAGTCTTCAAGGAAAACAGGTATCATTTTGTGACCATGGTCTGGGCAAGAATGTTTTAGATACAACATTTAACAAAAAATAGTAAGTAAAAGAGTTGATCAAATATTCCACTTTGTATTGCAAAGGATACATACCATCAACAAAGTGAGAGACATTGTGACTTACTCCTATAAGCCTGGTACTTGGGGACTGAGGCAGGAAGATCACAGTGAGTTTGAGGGCAATCTGGGCTACAAAATGAATACCATCTCAAACACAAAATGAGGCCTGGCATGGTGGCACAGCCTTTTAATCCCAGTACTCCAGAGGCAAAAGCAGGTGAATCTCTGCATTTAAGGCTAGCTTGGTCTATATAGAGAGTTCCAGGTCAGCCAAGGATACATAGTTAAACTCAAGAACTAAAACTGAGAGAGAGAGAGAGAGAGAGAGAGAGAGAGAGAGAGAGAACACTGAAAGGGAAAAGAGGAGGAAAAAGAAGAAACCCATGTAATCAGAGATATAACTTTTTAATTCTGTGGGATAACCAATTTTTCCCTGGTTGTTCTGGCATTACATTAGATTTTTAGATTGTTGTAGCCTTTCTAATCAGTGGCCTCCTATTCACCTGTTTTCACTGTTTTAAAAAGTTTTCATATCCCCCACTTTTGTTCTTTATGCATGAATGCGATTTTGTGATTGTAATATGCACTTTGTTTTGTTTTTCAGACAGGGTCTCACTATGCAGCTCTGGCTGGCCTGGAACTCTTTGTGTAGATCAGGCCTGTCTTGAACTTAGAGATCCACCTGCCTCTGCCTCTGCCTCTGCCTTAGTCTCCTGTGTGCTAGAATTGAAAGTGTGCACCACCACGACTTTAGTTTTTTCATGTGTCATCTCACAGGAGACGAACTCTCACCAACTCTTACATCCTTTGATCCGAAATACTTGTATCCTGATTTCTAAAAATTTATGTTGAAAAGGTTGAAAATATGTAAGTTAAAGCATATGAACCCGGGACTGGAAAGATGACTTGGTGGTTAAGAACACTGACTCCTCTTGCAGAGGACTCAAGTTCAGTTCGCATCACCTACATGGCAGCTAACACCTGTCTATAACTTCATTTCCAGGGGATCCACTGCCCTCTTCTGGCCTCCCGTGGGCATTGCATGCACATGGTACTCTTACATACATGTAGGCAAAATACTCATACACCCAAATAAATTTAAAAAAAAATGTTTTTTAAAGAAAAGAAAACCAAAGTGGGGCTAGGGTGACCATTCAGTGAGTAAAGCACTCGCCCCACAAGCACACGAACCTGAGTTCAGTGCCAGGCGTGGTGGTGCATGCCTTTAATCCCAGCACTTGGGCGGCAGACGCAGGTGGATCTCTGTGAGTTCGAGTCCAGAGGCCAGCCTGATCTACATAGTGAGTTCCAAGCCAGCTGCCACTACAGGGGGACCCTGTCTCAAATATACCAAAAAAACAAAACCTGAGTTCAGATTCCCAGACCCCACATAAAGCTGCACACAGCAGCATGTATCTGTAATATCAGCACTTCTTTGGCCGGATGGGAGATGGAGACAGGAGAAGCTTACGGGCCAGTTAGTCTGGCTGTGCAGTGGTGAACATGGTAGAAGATGAGGACTGACACTGAAGGTTGTCCTCTGACCTTCATGTGTGAATCATGGCACAACCACACTCACAGACACCATGTGCACCCATAAATATTTTTTTTAAACACACAAAAAAAGGTGGTATACTTGAACCATTTATTTGAAAAACTATCTTTTTTCCAATGATTTGCCTTTACAAAAGTCAATATAAGTAAAAAGAATTCTAGAGTCTCAAACCTGTTGCCTTAACATCTCTGTTAGTTGTCTGTGTTTCTTGTTGCTGTGACAGATTCCTGACATAACTTAAAAGGAGGAAAGATTTATTTTGTTCGCAATTTCAAAGGCTTCAGTGCGTCATTGTGGGGAAGGCATAGTGGAGCAGAGAAGTTCACGTCATAGCTGCCGAGAAAGTAGCAAGGGACCAGGGCAAGATCTGCCCTTCAAAGACAAATTCCAAGTGACTACTTCCTCCAACCAGACTCCATCCTTCAGGTTCTACCACCTCCCAGTGGCCTAGTCCCATTTTCACTTCATTAGTCATTGATCAGGTCAGAGCCCTCAAGAATGAGTAGCCATCACAGACTGGTCCAGAGGTGTGCTTTATTAATCTCCTAAGTATTTTGATCCAATCAAGTTAACAATCAAGATCAGTTTTTATACTTTACACTGATACCATACTGTCTTGATTACTGATGCTCTATAGTAAATTTTCAATTCAAGTAAATATATATCCTTAAATTTTACTCCTTTTTGAAATTGTTATAATTGTCTATTCTCCTCAATAATGCTGTTTTTTTTTTCCTGCCTCTTCATTGCTGTGAGTTTTACTTTGTTGGGTACTAGATAGTTTGATATACCTTTAAATCTTAGGTTTTGTTTTGAAATGAGGGTTACCTGAGAACAGTGTGAGTCTTTCAGGTCTCGCTTTTACAGTTAATAGGTGGGTCTGTCAAGATGCTTCTGTGGGATAATTGCTCTCCACTACAAAGGCAAAACTTTCCTGAATAGTCAGTGCTCTGTTAATTATGTGTTCTCACAGTCTGTCAATGGAAACAAGCACTGTGGTCCACTGTGAGTACCACACTTCTGATCCCTTCAGGTAGTTCTCGCACACACCATCACTGGCACACTTTGAAGGAGTCTCTGCTTTTCTCTGTACTGTATGCTCTTCTGTCACTTTGTCCTTTGGTGGTAGCTATTTTTCTCTTTGCTGCAACAGAAGCAAATTAAGGGGAAAAGGACACATAGTTCAGAGGAATGCAGTCCTTCCTCTGGGGAAGGCATGATGGCAGGAGTGGCTTGGTCCATGGTGCTGACCAGGAAACAGAAATGGGAAGGCCCACACTCAGCTAGCTTTCTCCTTTTTCCCTTTTTTCTTTTTTTAAATCTTTGTGTGTGCATGTGGAGATATATACATACATACATACATATATATATAGATAGATAGATAGATAGATAGATAGATAGATAGATAGATGGATGATGGATGGATGGATG